TAGTTTTCAATCATTGGAATTATTAAATGTTATTTAAAAAAAAATGAGGAATTTCATTGCAATATAGACTTAACAGAGCACTAAGTATCATTATATGAAATTCATTTTCATTTTATACAAACGAAATCCTAACCACCGTTACAGAGAGAGAGAAGGAAAAAAAAAAGAGAAAAAAATGGGAAGAAAAAAGAAAGAAGAAGAAAAAGAAGGAAAAAACATAGCGCAGCCGATAAGTGCATTTTTACACTAATTCGATCCATAAAACCTGATTAATTGTTAATAAAATTGGTTGGATATGACTTAATTCTATGCAATTTTGTTTTGTAGTGCAATATTGATGGATATGATGGAACTTATGAGAAAAGATGCCAAAAGGGGCAAAAACAAAATAAAACAAAAGTTTAGGGACCAAAGTGAAAATATCCAAAAGATGACCCGAAAGACGAATCGAGAATGCAAACGAGCTACATATCAACTTAGGGATAATATGGGATGATAGAAGGAAGAAAATGGAGAAAAAAGGACCAGAATGGAAAAGAATGTAAGTTCAAGGACTAAAATGCAAATAGCTAAAAGATGAACCAAAAGCATAGACGAAGGTGTTAGACTTGAAGTATTGGGAGAAGAACAATAAGAAAAAAGTTACAATGCCAGAAATTTGAAGTTCGAGGATCAAAATGCCAATTTTGGGAAGAAAACTTATACCATGTAGTTGCATGGTGGTAATAAGAAAAATTGATGGAACAATCATGAATAACCATGCAGTCACATGGTACAAATCTGATGTGAAATTTTCAGTTTTCTTCTCTGCTTAAAACTCTTATAGAAACAAGTCGCGGGAAATATATATAAATCCTAGAACTGTCAATTGAAGGAGAGAACACATTGGGAGAGAAGAAAACACATATTGGAAAAGATTTTTTTCACCATAATCACGAAGATCAATGAGATTACACGCCCAATGCTACGCCGGTGATATCGTTTCTCAGAGTTATTATGTATTTTGTTAAATTCTCCATGCTATGCTAGATTTTCATATATTAGGAGATCAATGAACCTTATGATGTAACTTTTTAATTTCTAGTTTTGCAATTTTGATATCAAACCACATTATTGAATTTTGAATGATTTACATACAACTAATTGCTTCCATAATTATGTGCACATAATTGTGTGAGTGTGCTGATTTATTTCATGCATTCGAGAGAAGGGAAATGAGTTCGACAGGGTATAAATTATCTTAGGTTTCGATAAGGGATAGAGATACACTACTATGCCTTGCATAAATTTTTAAGTGTTCATAAAATTACATGCATTCTTGTATATTTACACTCGTCATAGAGATATAGACTGGTGGTATATAAGAGTAGGTTCAATTTTAGTCGAGAGAGATTGTAGGATAGATTTTAGGAGCATTGATTATTCAAGAACTCAACGCGTTGTCAATTTGTAAAATTAGGGTTAAACGTGAGCATTGCTTGGAGATTCGTAATCCTAGTGCACCTCATATTTATTAACTATATCAAATTTGCATTCAATTATTCATTTTGCATTTTAGTTCGTTTGAGTCATAGATAGTTGCATAGTAGTCAAATTAGGGTTAATTCAAGTTACTACAATTCTCGTGTGATCCTTTGGTTTTGGTTAAAGTCGAGTTAGATAGAACTAAATTATTCAATCTCCATGGAAAGACATCGGGACTCTATTTTCCAGTTTATTACCTGTTAGAAACTGTACACTAGCGAAATCAAATTGAAGGAATAATTTCATGAACAGCCGCTGATTTATCCACTCTCTCGACGAAGACGCTAGTTTTATAGAGAGCGAAAATGGGAAAGAAGAAAATGGAAACTAATGAAAAAGAGAGAGAAAAAAAAAAGAGGAAAGAAGAAGAAACAAAAACGACGAAGAGTCCCATTCGAATTTGGAGGATTTGACACACATTCCATTCTCATACCCATACTCATACCTATGTCGTATTATATCTGACATGGGTAGTTCAACTATTTCAAAGACCTCAAGCATCAGAAGGCATCTACAATGTTGGCTTTAGGGGTTTTACTATTTTTCGTCATCTACAATTTTATCTTTCTGTTACTATTTTCCGTCATCTACAATTTTATCTATGATGTTGGCTTTAGTCTTTTATAAAATGTCCTACTTTTCCACTCCCATAATATTTTTTTATTTCTTTCATTTAACCCAGACCTCCCTCTATTCTTTATCTTGTAATTATTTCCCTAACTACACTAATCCTATTGATTTCCATTTCACCTAATTTATTATCTACCCTTTACAAACAAACTCTCAAGAGTAACTATCCTCAGCCTTTTCAGCTTTTAGGCCTCGTTTGAGTACACGAAATTTTCCTATGGACCTTGTTTTTGAATTTGAATTTTCACTTTTGACCTGTTTGATTGACAAAATTTTTTAGGGAATTGATTTTCCATGAATTTCTAGGTAAAACACCTTAAAGCGTGATTTTCCACCTTTTATTTTCTTAGGGATAAGTGGTTTTTGGTTTTTTCACCTTTTTTTTTTTTTTTTTTTTTTTCATTTTTTGGCAATGTGAACAAATTCTAGGAACAATTATAAAAAAAGGATATCCCTGAAATTGACAATTTTCATGTTAAACAAAGTCAAACGAATACCAAAATATAGACGATTTTTTGATCCTTTTTTTCCTTTTTTTTTGGTTGGCAATAGAAACAAATTTTAGGGACAATGGTAGAAGTGGATATCCCTTAAATTGACAATTTTCATGTAAAATAAAGCTAAACGAACACCAAAAAATACTTTTACTTCAACATTTTTCACGTGAAAAATTATACCAATCAAACACAATAATTTACAATTTTCAGGAAAACAATTTCTAGATAATTTAATTCTCTAAAATTCATTTTCTTTCCACCCAAATTCCATCTTTGCAATTAAACAGACCCTTCTATTTTTACTTCTTAAAGAATAAATAACAATTTTAGGAATTAATTGTGTCTCTATTATACTTAATAGCATTCTTGATATCTCTACAAGTTTCAGAAATGTATTAAGAAGTACAACAACTTTATATACTCATATCTTTTCTTCCGTATTGTGATGTCTTAAGCAACTTCGTTAAATACATCCAAATTATCATCTAACTCTTTAGAGTAATCTATTTTAAGTTGAAAAACATTTTAAATTAGAAAAATTTGTTTGGTAAGGATATAACCAAGTAAAGCTCTTTTAACTTTTTTCAAAGAAATTTTGTAGAATCTAATTTTTCTACTTTTCTTAACACTTGACCAAACAAAGACAAAATGATGAAAGTGTAAGCAAGTATTTATCTCAGCTCTCTTATCAACAGCTATGGAGACTGAATAGCTTTAGAAACTTTTTGTTAAATAAAATACATTTTATTTTTTGTTGCCAAAGAGGAAAGTCCCATTAAAAACTTCAAGTTCAAAAGTAGTTGTCATATTTACAGTGAAACATACAGTCAAAGCCATATACAACAAGCTACTTAAATGAGGTTAACAAAAAATTCCAATAATAACAAAACAATACCAACAATAACCAATCTCTTAACATTTAGTACAAAATGATAACGAAATCGAGCAAATACATAAAGTAATGCAAGACTACTTTCAAGAAAAGTTATAACACAATTTTCAAAATTCACCATGATTATATGAGAATCGTGATTTAAAACTGTGGTTTAATCAAAATTTAGAATGAGAAAATTTGAAACATAAGTCAAAATAGACAAACAAATAGTAATATAGGCATATTATCAGAAAACCAGTCAAGAAAAATGAAGAACAAGAATCATATGATCGAGTCAGCTTTTGAAAGTGCAAATCACAGAAGATGTAATGGTCCAGAGCAACTAGCCGCTTTGTAAGTATTGAAGCAACATTTATAACTAAAGGCGCACTTTCAAAATGCGACATTTCTCAATTTAATGGATCCGGGTTTTGGACTTCATCATTTGATTTATCGGGCAATAGCAAGTAGTAACGAGCCAATCCCAAATCATCATTGCACCGGTTTGACTGTAAAATTAGCATTATAGAACAATATAAGAAAATTTGTTCATTAATTTGTTAAGTCTCGTCTATTTTTCTATCAAGTCTAATACCGTGTACTACTCGACTTTTATGATGAGCTTGCTATCTAAAAAAGGTTGAACCTCAATCTTGAGGGCTCCCACTGTCCCCTCCCTAAAGCTTTGTGAGAGAGGTAAATCGCAGGATGTGTCCTAATAGGCCAGAGAACAAGAACTGCATGTACATTGCACCTATAAGGAGTCCAATTCCATGTCTCAGGAATCGAACCCCCATACTGTGGCTACTAGCAAGGTGTGAGATAACCTCACTCTTGTCTTTTGCACCACTGGCCTATGCCCCGAGGGGCAATGAGCTTGCTATCTAGACGCTAGGGGATGGGTGATAGAGGATAACATGAATTCTTTCTTTGAACAATAATTCAAAAAAGTGTTGGTGAACTTTTCTTTCATTACATGCAAGTAGTACAATCCCATACCCTCTTTCTTTTCAATTAATCTAGTTGTATAAGATAAGTTGATAGAAATGGTTGACAAAATAAGTGTTGGCAGAATTTTGACCATTGATTTCAAATGATTTAAAAAAAGTATTTTTGAAATAATTTGATGTAGATATTGTTTTATAAACCAACTCTATCAACCAATTTTGTACAAATAACATGACTCCTTTCTTTTTCACTTGTCAGCACAAAGTTGTCCCTGTCCCCTTCATGAAAATGACCATTTCCAACTCTCCTTGTTTTCTACTGTTCCATCTCTTTATCCTTTTTCTATCTTGAAATGTGTGTTTGATTCCCTCTCTCTCTCTTTTAATGTGAATTCATTGAAGAAAAAGAGAAAATGACTTTGTTTAAGATAAGTTCGAAAGCATTAAGTCTGTTTACTTTTACATAATCATAGAACTGGGGACATTACCATGATTAATATAATTTGCAAAAAACATGGGTGTAACATGTAAAGCAAAGATAATCCATATACATTAATTTCTATACCAGCCCAAGTGCCAAAATCAAGAATTCAAATTAACTCTTAAAATATTATGATGAAATCCATATTGATTATACTTAGTTATAGGGCCATTAGTAGTTTCAGATTAACTGAAATGCTGTTGTTCTAGCCATGGCCAAAACCCGGTTTGATCGTCCATGCTGCATAACATACTGCAGAAGCTTTCGTCCTTCACAGTTTGGTCCAGTTTCTGGCACTGAATATCAGGTCTAGACGACGTCTGGAAAAGTTGTGCTGCACCATTAGGCCTCATGTAAGGTGCAAAGAGGGGTCTGTTCTGGGGATGAGCAGGTAAAGGGCTGTCAATTGCTGGTGTTCTTGATATGTCTAACTTAATATCCGAGCTATTTTCACTTCTGTTACTAGAAGAACCTTCCAGTTCTTTGTTCAGATTGATAGACTCCGTTGGTTCCCTTTTCTTTAGAACCAGTATCTGCAACCATGAGTTTATTAATCTAATACAATTTTTTTCTCTCTATAATTGTCAATAAATTATGTAGCTAATCCTAAGTGTAATGATGTTGCTTCCAAGATTTGTCTAGCCTGTTCTCCCGGTTACCTTTTTAATAAATTAAGGTAATCAAAATCTAATATTTCTCTCATGATTTGTTTGATAATTGGTATTGTACTAGACCGTGTTTGTTTAAGAGAGATCGTTTGAATTAAAAAAATGATTTTTTTAGTGAATTTATAGTTAAAAAACAGTGAAAATTTTTGAGTCTATGTGCAAAATTATTTTAGTGAATAATATAAAGTGAAAAATTAATTTGTTAAAAATTAATTTTCAAATACGTTGCCTCAAACAAACACTTAATATATTGTATAATACTGCATACTCGCCCCGCTACATTCCATGAAAAATTATTTTTCTTCAAATTCATTTTTTAACTACACATTTTCTTAATAAAATAATTTTACATGTAAATTCAAAACTTTTCTCTAAGCACGTGTTTGACAACCATTATTTAAGGAAAAATAGAATTTTGAATAGTATTTTTAGGAGAACATGTGGCTAAAAGCAGTGAAAAGTTTGAATTTACATGAAAAATATTTTATTACGTGCATGTGTTGTTAAAAATGAGTTTAAAAATAATGATTGTCAAACGGGACTAAATTTTAACAATATATTTTTCAAAAAATCACTATTACAAAAGCATATTCTACCTGGAAATGGCACTTAAACACACCCGTGATGAGCAGTCGATACCAATTGCTATGTGAATAGTTCCAATCTATTTGAACAAGGAATCATTTGATGATTTTTTTATCCAATGCTTACACACACACACACACAGAATTTTATTTATTTTTTTATTATTATTATTTTTTATTCAAGAATATGTTAGAAATTTTACGTACCACAGCTTGAAGTTTCTGATTTTGTGCTTGTAGGGCATCATTATCTGCTTTAACAGCTTCAAATTGTTTCTTAAGAGCTTCATAATCTTTCTCCAATTGCTTTGTCTTCCACCTTGCCCTCCTGTTTTGGAACCATATCGCAATCTGCCTCGGTTGCAGGCCTAAAGCCCGAGCCAGCTGAAATTTCCTCTCAGGCTCGAGCTTATTCGCCAGCTCAAAATTTTTCTCAAGTGTCTTCACTTGATCCATGTTAAGCCTCCTCTTCTTCTCTCCCAGTTGTGATCCGTCGTCTGACAAATCATCCTCCCCGTGATTATCTTCACAAGCATCGGAAAACACCGACGATCTCTTCCCGGTAAGTGAAACTACACCTGCATCAGTTAAAGAAGTTAATGTTAGAAATCCATTAAGAGGTTGAAATATATGCGAACAATTCATGTAAGTATATGTGGAGAGAGAAAGGACCATGGAAGTCTCGAGAGTTGCAATGGGGAAGAATTGAATTGAGAGAAGTAGAGGGTTGATGTTCATCTTCATTATGAGTTTGCAGCATAAAATTGGCGGGGAAGAAGGCCATTTTCATGCAATCATGATCGACGAGTCATACTTTTAGAGAGATATAGGAAGAAAATTTATGTGAAAGAGAGAGAGAGGGAGAGCTGTTTATGCCATTTTTTGACATCTTTTATAATTTTAATACATTTTTCTCTCTCATATTTTTCAACTACACATTCTTCAATAAAATAATATCATACGTCAATCAAAAAATTTTCCCTGTTTCATAACCACACATTCTCCCAAAAAATATTATTCTATAATATATTTATTAAAATTTCTCTTTGTAATGGACGTAAAAAAAGGGCACTTGATAAGTCATTTCATATACATAACGTCAAAGAGAAAATAACGTCGCCAGTTAGAAGGAGCCTCGTTCATTGCTCTGATAGATAGCTTATATACCTTATGAGCTTCAACAAAATAATTTCTTTTTTATTTATGTATTTTCATGTCTCTTTCATTTTTTTATTTTATTATTATTATTATTATTATTATTATTATTATTATTTTTTGAATGGTGTTCCGTTCCCTAATATATATATATATATATATATATATGATAAACAGTGCCAAAGTTCAAATTTGAAAAGCTAAATTTATCGCGTGAAGTGTGGTGCATAATTTTCTACATGGACAGTTGTCATTGAATTTAAGTTAGGAGGACAAGTACAATTTTTTAAAGGTTGATTCCTTTGCTAGAGAGAAAAAGGGGTACAAGTTATGTATGTGTATGTGTATGTGTATGTGTATGTGTATGTGTATGTGTATGTAAGTGAAGTGGGTGACGATCTGAGAAAAAAAGTAGTAGTAAATGAATATTATAGTATGGCTATATTTAACTTTAAAGTTTAATAGGATTGGTACATTGGCTGTTCTTAGAATACTTAAATGAGTGACTAATAAGTTATAAATGCACTTGTATTATAAGTTCACTTGTTTATATATGGAACTGAATAGTTTAGAAATGAATATGAAAAGACGATAAATTCTATCTATTGTACTGGACAATATGCATTGATAGTTTTTATTTTGAATAGAAGAAATAAATGAGTTTAAATAGAAGCGATTAAGTAGATTTTATGAGGGATAGAAATTATAGGAGTAATTTAATTGAACAAGATAGTTGAAGAAGGAAGAAAATAATTTTATTAAAGTTGAAATGTCGAGACACTCAGGATTAACCAACATTCATAGAAACCGAACCAATAAATGCACAAGTGCCTAATCCCCTGTTGAGCATCCACTATGAATGGATTCAGCTTGGTTGCACTATAAGACCCCCAAAATCTGGCAGTAAGTATACAATGTTTCAGAATATTACAATATACAAGTCACAAAGACTTATCTCATAAGGATTCACCAAGGCAGACCACGGTTCACAAAGAAACCACGCACAGATCACTCAGGCAACTAAGTCACAGGAACTGCCATCCAAGAATCACATGACTTCACAAGTCATTATACAATATGTAAGCTATTCCACACAGAAAACACAAGAAATCACCAAGATTTCATCAAACCCGACTGCACATCACATGAAACCACTCAGGTTTCCATGAACTCAACACGGCAGTTCACTAGGTTGGAGATCTATAACATATCATAGATTAACTCAAGGAAGAGTTCTGAAAATCACTCAAGAATGGAGCCAAAATGAGAGATTCATCGAGAGAGAAAGAGAGGCGACTCAAAACCCTCGAACTCAAGAAGCTGAATGGAGTAGAATGAAAGACCAACAGCCACCCAAATCATTTAGGGTTAAATGCATAGAATCATCTAGAATCAGATCCAACGGCCAAGAGTTCAGCACGTGTCACAATCCAGTTAATTCCTTCCATTAGTAAAGTGTCACTTTACAAAACACGCTTTTAGTTAAAATTGTGGAAGCACAATTTAAATCAAAGGTGATTAGCAGTTCGACTCCCAACAATCTCCACCTTGCTTCCATAATTTTAAGGCATATAGTGCAGCCATGAGCTTAACCAGCATTTATAGTTTCATATGCTCGGTTGTACCTGTACATTCAATATAAAGAATCAATAGATAATATCTTCAAACAATTTTCAAATTTGTTTAAAGGTATTACTTTAGTTCCCATGTCTGAGGGGTTGTTCAAGGTACAAATTTTATTTATTTTCAGCAATCCTTTTGAAATAATATCCCTTATAAAATGGTATTTAACATCAATATGTTTTGTTCTACTGTGGAACATTGGATTTTTACTCAAATGGATTGCATTTTGATTATCAGAAAACAGAATTGGATTAGTATCTACAAAACCAAGTTCATTTAGTAAACCATGCAGCCAGATGCCTTCTTTGATGGCATCAGTGGCTGCAATATATTCAGCCTCGGTGGAAGATAGAGCAACAATTTTCTATAACTGAGATTTTCAGCTTATCACAGTGCCACACAAAGTGTAAAAATAAGATGAAGTGGATTTCCTATTGTCTCTGTTTCCAGCAAAATCTGAATCTGTATAACTTTTTAGAATTACCCCCTCTTTATTCATTTTAAACATCAAACCTAGGTTGGATGAACCTTTTAAGTATCTCATTAACCATTTTAAGGCTTCCCAATGTGTTTCACCAGGATTCCCCATGAATCTACTCAAAACACTAATACTAAATGCCAAATCAGGTCTGGTGCAAATCATTAAGTACATGACTGAACCAATAGCATTGGCATAAGGTATTTTAGACATTCTTTCAAGTTCATCTTCAGTTTTAGGGCATGAATAAGATGTTAGAATAAAGTGATTAGCAAGGGGTAAAGTCACAAGCTTACAATCAAACATATTAAACTTCTTAAGAATCTTATTCACATATTCTTCTTGACATAAAATCAAACAATCAGATTTTTCATCTCTTTTAATATGCATGCCAAGAATCTTCCTAGCAGAACCAAGATCCTTCATATCAAATTCTGATTTTAGTTTGTGTTTGATATCATCAATTTCAGCTTTATTGGCACTAGCAAGAAATATATCATCAACATAAAGCACAAGATACAAAGAATCTTTACCACCACTTCCTTTACAATAAAGACATGTATCATAATTGCTTCTACTAAACCCAAGTTTCAAGACAAATGAATCAAATCTTTTATACCATTGTCTTGGAGCTTGTTTTAGGCCATATAAATATTTTTTTAGCAAACACACAGTTTTTTCAGGATTTCCTTTTATAAATCCTAAAGGCTGATTCATGTAGATAATTTCTTCCAATTCACCATAAAGAAAAGCAGTTTCTACATCCAGTTGACCAAGTTTCCATTTAAATTGCTCAGCTAAAGCAAGAATACATCTTATAGCCGTATATTTGACCACGGGGGAAAAGATCTCATCATAGTCCACACCCTCCTTTTGTGTGAAACCCTTGGCAACTAGTCTAGCTTTGTATCTAATATTATTAGTGCCACCTTCCCCTTCCTTTATTTTATAAATCCACTTGCAATCAACTAGTTTCTTATCCTTTGGTTTGTCAACCAATTCCCAAGTTTCATTCTTGTATAAGGAAGACATTTCTTCTTCCATAGCACTCAACCACCGCTTAGAATCTTTAGATTTCAAGGCTTCATGATAGGAAATAGGTTCAGATTCAATTTCTTCTTGGTAAGTGAACAAAGACACAAAGTCATCACTATTAAACCTAGCAGGTGGTCTAATTTGCCTTCTATCCCTATCTCTAGTGAGCTGGTAATCATCTAGGGGTTGAATTAAGTCATCACCTTGATCAGATTCAGTCAAATCAGGCTCATTCTCATTCTAGTCAGCCTCTGTACATTCAGTTTCTAGAGGGGCAGAACTGATATCATCAATTTTAGTAGGCTCCACCTCAATTTGGACATCATTTTCAGTTAAGTTCCCTTTCTTTCCTTCCAAACATGGCATACATGATTCATTAAAGACCACATCCCTTCTTATTATTACTTTGTAACCCTTTTCCCCATAAACTCACAGCCTATATCCTTTAACATTTTCAGCAAGCCCAAAAACACACACTTAACAGATCTAGGTTTAAGTTTCCCTATGTTTTGATGAGCAAATGCAGCACATCCAAATGTTTTCAAGTAAGAATAAGTAATAGGCTTTTGTGTCCACACAGATTCAGGCACATCATAGTTTAAAGCACTTGTAGGACTTCGATTAATCAAATATGCAGCAGTTTTTACAGCCTCACCCCAAATTAATTTGGGCAGGCCTGAACTTAAGAGCATGCATCTAACCTTATTTAATATAGTCCTATTCATCCTTTTTGCAATGCCATTTTGCTGGGGTGTGTAGGTTACAGTTTTGTGTCTTAAAATGCCATGTTCTTTACAAAAATTATCAAACTCATAGTTGTAAAATTCTAGACCATTGTCTGTTCTTAAAGTCTTGATTTTCAAGTCAGTTTGATTTTCAATTTGAGTTTTCCAATCTTTGAAAATAGTAAAAGTTTCATCTTTGGTTTTTAATAGAAAAACCCAAAATTTCCTTGAAAAATCATCAACAATCAACAAGTAATATTTGTAACCAGATAATGTAGAGGTAGATGAAGGACCCCACAAATCAGCATGTAAATATTCTAGAATTTGCTTTGATTTATGAGTACTAGCGGGAAAAGGTAACTTAACTTGTTTTCCTACCAAACATTGTTCACAATTAGACAAGTCACCAATGTTTAGTTTTCCAAATACACCTTTATTATGTAAAGCCTTTAACCCTTTCAACCCAATGTGACCAAGTCTACAATGCCACAATTTTGCAAGATTATTTTTATCATCTAAAACTGTTGCTGAAAATCCAAGTAAGGGTTTTGCATTTAGAAAGTATAAACCATATCTCTTTGGGATAGAAATGATTAAATCACTATCCCTAAAGATTTTTATCTATCCTTAACCCAATTTTATGTCAAACTCCATGTCATCCAACATTCCTAGAGACACTAAGTTTCTTTCTAATTTAGGAACAAACCCGGTACCCTTTAAAAGTAAAATTCTGCCATTTTCCAGAAGTAGTTTTATTGTTCCAATACCCTTTACTTTGCAAGTCATGTTATTTCCCATGATAACTTGGCCACCTTTAGTTTGTTCAAGATCCAGAAAATAGTTTTTGTTA